CCCACGGCCGCCAAAAGGAATTCCAAGGGGCCTGGAACATTATGGAACCATATGTCAAGGTAAACCAAATATGAAGCAGAACCGGAACATTGTACTTTCTGTGCATTCCTTTACCAGTCAGGCAACTCTTAATTGGCGGTTTGGATTGGTGAGCATTTGAACCTCTTCGTGTGTATTTCGGAATCCATCCTGGAGTTTCTTGAAACCGCCGGGCGCTCAATACCACATTCTGTGCCATGGCAAGGCTGCAGTGGCTTCAGTTTCGTTTTTTTTTTTTTTTTTTTTTTTTTTAATTATTTTCGGATCACAAGGGGTTTTACCAACCACTGTGATACTGTTGGGAATCTCCAACCCGTTCTGTGCTAGTCTTTGGGGTTAGGCCTGTATTGTTGTATCACAGAAGTGGATTCCATTTCAACCACAGCGACTTCAATCTTCCAGCGGTCAGTGTCAATTTGTGGCTTTTCGCAGCCTGCCGCAATCAGCTTCACGGTCAACGTGGAAGCTTCGATAGATGGTCTGGGACGAATCGCTAAATGATAGCTTTTTAGCCTTTTACTGTTTAGTGGTAGTTTCCATTGAATCCACTAAACGTTAAGCTTTTAGCGAGGGATCTGAGGGCAGCCCAGATTAGTAAGCCTGGTTATAACCCACTTGTCATGGTGGTAAGCCCCCTATAACATCTGGCTGTGGCTCAAATAGATGTACCAGAATGGCACCTTGGTAAATGGAACCAAAGACTAAAACCCGCGCAACCCTAGCTTTTCAATTTTGAGCCACACCCATCTAAGTACAGTACTTCGTTCGAGCCAAAGGTTTCTTTTCGCCCAGGGCGCGCAAGCTCCGCGCGGACGTGCTCCTGCAGTCCATTGCCGACAAGACCAGCGAGCCCGAGGTACGCACACTGCGCTCCGCGGTTTGTCCGGCGGCGGGCAGAGGGGGTTCTCCAAAACGTTTCTTTTAGTTCAGAGATGTTCAGACATGTTCAGAGGAAATACGGGGGGCTTGTTGAATTTGGGGGGCCTTAAGATGGTTGATGTATTTGTTTGTTTCAGTTTGAAATGCTAACCAAAAGCAGGTCCGAATCCCATTTTGAGAAACTCCCATACGCAGAATCTGACAAGCTATTTTTTTGTGAAGAGAGGTGGGCCAACTTTTAGTGGCACCCAAAAAGGCAGGCAAATGCAAAGAAACCGAACCAGGCATATGTTCGTATTGGTTACTTCCATTTGCTTACGAATATGTCTTCTATTTCCCCCTGTTGGTTTTAAAGGGAATCTATCACTACTGGACATAGTTTCGTTTCTTCCTGGGGCTTGAGCAAATGTGAGAAGGCAAATGAAAATGCGCCTAACTAGCTCTGGGGTGCCCAAATTTGAGACACCTGTCGAGTCGGCGTGACCTGTAATTGACAAGGGCATCAAGAAGCATCACGGAATAAGTCGGTTTCTTTCCAAGCGATCTTCTTGTGGAGTCTGGAGGCCGCAAAAAAAGGCATTTGCAGCATTGAATCTAGTGGTCCAGGCAAGCAAGGTGTATGTTGCCCTGCCTCGTATGTTGCAAGTCCACATTTGACATTTTCCCAGCATGTGCTGTTGAAGCAGTGGAGGTGCCTGACCAAAAGCCACACAGCACCTATGCGAGCGCTTGAAGCCTCTGAGTACCTTGGGGACCCTTGACATTGGTGACGCTTGGCTCAAGTGATTTCACATATGGATGTGTGCCAGATAGGGATATGGAGCCAAACAAATCACACACACACACACACACACCCGTACCCGGATCTTTCGACAGGCCAAGCCAGAAACCCCACGGCGGCGTGGGGCCCTCTTTGAGGCGACCGGCGTTCGGGCGGCTTTTGGAGGCAACGGTTTTCGGTGGGAAGGAGTTCCACTCGTGAGGAACTGACACGGCAAAGCAGGGTTGGCCTGGGAGCAAATGAGATGCACCATTTTCCATCAGCTGGCCAATTGGGTTGCAACATTGGTACCAATTGAGTAACCTTTTTCACCAGACAAGTTCGATTCCAACATTGGTTGAGCCAGAGATGACGCTTTGCGTTGGAACGCCTGGTTTTGGACATACCTTCGAAGGCCGTCCAGGGTAAACCCGGCCGAGTTTCGAGTTGGATGCTGCCTCCATTGGGACGGCGAAGCTGGGATTTTGAAGTGGCGTGTTTGGTATGCGGTGCTTTGCGGGCAATGCCAAAATCATCGTGTGGGGAATTCCCTGAAATGGGAAGTCGCTCTTTTGTTTGGTTGGTTCGCTGCGCATTGCTTTTTTGCACGACTGTATCAGTTCCATTTAGCTGCAGTGCCTGTGGATGCCGCAAGTACGTTTCCCGTGCCTGCGGATTTATCGCTTCGCCGGATTTGGTTGTGTGTGTGTGTGCGTGTTTGTTGAGTTGGTACACTTTCAGGGTTGGTTTGAAAGGGAGTCCAAACGGAACACCGCCACGTTGGGGTCGCCATCGCAAGAGACCTTCCTTTCCGCTTCACCCACTGGCAACCAGTTTTTGTAAAAGGGCGTGTTCAAAAAACACAAGAAAAGCACATAGGGAACCATAGACAGTTTAGGGTGATATGAAAAACTACCAGGGGAAACATAGGGAACCCAGGGCAAATTTGGGAACCCCTGTACTTTGCCCAGAATGTGTAGTTGCCTTTGCCTTGCGTGCGCATTCCTCTGCCAAGCGCTTGGGTGCTCGAGCAACTTGGCGCGTGTAGAGCGCCATGCGCGGCGCTCGCTCGCTCGCGGCCGAGGCTTGAACGGAAGTGTCGTGGTGGCTGTGTCAAATACACGTGGCCGTCGTTTTTCGGAGTTGGTGCCCCCTTTTTGGGGGGGGTTTAAATGAACACCAGAGGGATACCGAGGCCATTTTTTGGGGGGCCGATCGCTTTTTTGGTTTGAGCTAAAGGGGTCCCCCCCCAGACGATTCCAAGGGGATCCGGAGGCCCAAAGATGGGAGCTCTCATGTGAGTCTGAGGGAGGGTATCCCTTTTCCCTTTTTTTGTTGGTTTCAAGGGGAAACCAAACCACCAGTTTGGGTGGGGTCCCCGAAACGAAAAGACACGCAAAGAGCTATGTAGCCATGAGCTTTGAAAAGGGGACCCCACGAAAATGAGGAAGTTCCTTTGGTTTCCTTTTGAAACTATGAAAAGGGGTTCCCCGCAAATACGACCCTTTGCTGGACATCATTTAGCTGGGGATTATATCCACCAACCGCTTTTGAAGGGGTTGCCTGTGAACTTCGCAGCCATGTGTGTGTGTGTGTGCGTATTTGTGTTCCATATATGTTTTACTGCGACCTGGACCGAACCATCCCTGGTCAGAAGTTTGATCGAAGCAGCTGTGCAAGTGGAAACAACATCTCCAGGCTCTTGGGCGTGTATGTTTTTGGGCGTATCCAGTTCTTTTGGGTTTAGAGCTTAGAGGGAGGCCAACGGAAAGCCGCCATTTTGGGCCTCTCCTAAAGACACACCCCGATGAACCTCCGCAAGACAAACGATACTTTTCCCGGCGCACACTTGGGATGGGGAATCCGGAGGAAACACATTTCACACACAAAGCCTCAGCGGCTCCTGTGCCAGTTCTGTTGCCTTAGCTGATCGAATTGATCAGAATCTGCGAGCGCAAAGACAAACGCCACCAGTGCATCTCTTGATAACCCTCGCTACTGGCTGGGCACACGAGAACTCGCTTGGGTGTCTGTTCAGATTGCGGTATGTTTATGTAGATCGCAGCCTTCAACTCACAATGCAAAACAAACCAAGCCAGTAAGCTGCAAGCTAGTTCAAGTGTCAGCACTTTAACGGCCGCTCTTTTTTTCAGGCGCCATGTTCTTCGTCCCAGGCACGTGCTGAGCTTGGAATGCCAATTTGCCGAAAGCCCCGCTGTGGCACGACTTTGGACCTTTGACGCATGTTGGTTGTGGGTTGATCATGACGGCGTGCCATGTGTGGCAAAAGTGTTGGGTGCCGTTATGGTATCCGCAGCTTGGGTCTCAGCAAAAAAGTCTCTGGCGAGAGTTGAACATCAAGTGGCGATCGGAATGGGAAACCACCAGTTCCCACAAAGACAAAGAATGGGCTATTTTGGCCTCCACGCAGGAAGTGAGTTGAAGGGGTTCAAGTAGACGGCAGATGAAATCTGTACAGCTTGCTGACCTGTAAAAGGCGACAGGCTGCAGCATGGTCAAAACATCTGGGCCTGTGGATGAACAGGGAGGGGCATCAATATTTGGGTATGGCTATGTCAGTGATCCCGCTAAAGGAACCACTACTGACACAACAAGACACAGACACTTGAGACAGAGGCCCCTGGACTGGTCTACGTGCACGTTTTGCAGAGAGCTGGCATCCGCACGGGCTTCTCCCAAAAAGGTAAGGCAAGAGAGCCATGTGGATCTTTCTTTTTTTAGGGGACCCCCCTAACATGGGTTGGGTTGTCCTGTTGTCCCCGCAAAGCAGAGGTAGCCGCAGGTGCAGTTCTGAGCTTTAGCCTTGACAGCTGGGCCTCAGCCTGGCATTGCCACCCTCGATTCATCCGCACGAGTTGACTCTAGGGGCTTCCTCTCATTTGGTGTATGCCAAATGGGTGTGACTCAAAATCAGAGAGTCAGGGTTTCGCAGGTTTTAGTCCTTGGTTCCATTTACCAAGGTGCCTTTTGGGTACATGCTTTTGAGCCACAGCCAAATAGATCTGCAACGCGTGACACAACAGGATCAGAGTCGCAGCATGTGCGCGCATGGGGTATCGATATCAATGAGTCTTTGGGCATGTATGGCCATGTATCAGGCGTAAAACAGTAGCGAGCTCGCCTGGAGGTAAGACACCATGTGGATCCTTTGCTTGGGTTCCCCTATTTTCTGGAAGTTTTGTAAAACATGTGTACTGTCTCTTTCCCATTGTCATGAAGGTGCTGTTTAATCTAGTCGCCCACCCCCAGCCCATTCTAACTGCCCCTAGCGCCCTCCAGGCCGTAGCATTCCTTGCGCTAGGCGGCGTTCCCGGCGGCCTCTCTGGCAAGGGCGGAGGCCATTGCTTTCGGCCAGCGGTAGCACCTTATCCGTAGGATGCGGTTCCTTTTGAGCTTGGCCAGCCGAGTCCAGCTTTTGAAAATGTGGGTGTGTCTTTTTCAGGGAACCCCACAAAATCGGCTTTCCTTTTGGTTTCCTTTTACAAAACCACCCAAGAGGCGGGTCCCGGAAAAACGACAGACCCATGCGGAGAGGTTCTTTGGAGAAAGGAAAGGGCTGGCTTTTGGCGCCCGGTGAGCCACACTTTCCTTTTCTTCGCCAGGCAAAGGCGACGACGAGGCGCGATCGTTTCTTGGCCGAGCCAAAAAGGTGACGGAGCATGCCTTTGGCTCTGTCGGCTCTGGGGAAGGGGGCAATGTGCTGGGGTATACCAAACGTGGTTTGTCCGCTTCCAATGGCATTTGACAAAATGGAAAACCAATGAGAGTTGACTGAAAACAAAATTTGAAAAAGCTTTGGCGCATGTTGCCAAGGGCTGTTAGGACTTTGACTTTTTGATTCAACTAATGGGTTTTCCACTAAACCACTAAGAGTTAGTCACTTTTAGCAGGGGAGCAGCAAGCAACCGAGAAAATGGAAAACCAATGAGAGTTGACTGAACAACAACAAAATCAACAAAACATCCGTGAGGGGGTTCCCGTGCTTTTGCAACACCCAAATGGCAAAGAGGTGCCCTGGTCGTGTTTTAAAGGAAGCTCCAGTGGCTGTTGCCTGGCTTCATTGTCATTCCCTGCCAGGATGAGGCTCCTAGCCGAGAGGCAGGGGTCTTGCGCGACAAAGCACTTCCGATTTTACTACAGTTTTGTCGTTTTCGAGGGTATTTGGGGTGGCTTTAAATGGAAACATGGGAAACCAAAAGGAAACCCAGAATATTGGGAGACACATTTTTCCGCTTGGAAACATGGTCTTCTTTGTTAAGGCACATGTCCTAGGATGTGATGTCTTTCGGAGGGTGAGAATGGGGATTCAGACCACTTTTGGAGGGGAACACCCCCACATTATATTAATAAACAGGGGTTTGCGAATCCGGTGTCAACGCTTGCCGAAAATCTCGCAGCAGGTGAGCACGCGGTTCTACGAGCTTTTGGGCGTGAGCAAGGATGCCACCAGCGCGGAGATCAAGAAGGCGATTCGGCGATTCGAAGCGGCGCCGTGATTTGTCGGTCGGGGCTACCTGCAATCCTCAGCGCGACAGCACCAACACAGAGGCTCCAAGCACTGCGTGCAGCGCAGCACGCCCCTTGGATCATTGCAGGCAAGGCTAGAATGTGATCTTTGGTTCCTTTGAGTCATCAAATGCCCACAGTGTGTCTTTCTTTTTCCCCCCAAATGGGCGGGTTTTCCTTTTGGTTTCCCTTGAAAGCCAAGCAACAAAGGGCTACCCCAAAAAAAACGGGACCGGTGTTCCCTGGTTTCTAAAGGCCCCCCCCACCTCGTTTTTTTTTGACTTCCCCTTAAAGCCACCAAACAAAAGCACGGCGGCCACCGGCCACCGCCCAACAATCGCCGGGCCGCCGCGTCCCACGCGTCTCAGACGTCTCCGTTGCCAGGCGTACCACCGCCAGGCCATGCGCCTGCACCCCGACAAGGGCGGGGATCCCGACGCGTTCAAAGAGCTCCAGAGAGCCTTCGAGGCGATCGGCGCTCGAAGCGATGCGCATGGGGGGCTGAAGCGACCGAAACGCGCATGGGGGGGGGGGGCAAGTACCCTTGTTTTGGTGGGAAAATGGAGGAGCAGGGAGAAAAATTGGAGGAGCATTGAAGAAAAATGAAGAAGGATGGAGGAAAAGCGGAGTAGGATGGGAGAATAATGAAAGTGTCTAAGGAAAGCCAAAATCAAATCCCACCCATTTGGTGTGTTTGTTTGGGGGCCACCTTTTTTGGTGGTTTTTAGGGGAAACCAAATTGGGGGGGGGTCCCCTAAAAAAGCAGAACAGGGGACCCTGGTAGTGCGCTTTGTGCGCGTTTTGAGGCTCGCAGTCTTCTCATGGGTCAGCAATGTTAGTTTCACTTGATCTAACACGTGCAGAGGAAACATCTTGAGAAAACAAGAAAAACAAAAAAACTCGAGGAAAACAACAAAACTCGAGAAAACCAAAAAAACAAAAAACACCTCGAGAAAACAAACAACACATGGTTTAGAAACTCTTTGGAACACAACCCATGTTGAACGAGTTTCTAAACCATGTTTTTTTCGGTTTTCTCGTTTTTTTTTTTTGTTTTTTTTTGGTTTTCTCGAGTTGTTTTTTGTTTTTTTTTGTTTTTCCTCGAGTTTTTTTGGTTTTCTCGAGGTGTTTTTTTTTTTCGTCGAGTTTTTTGGTTTTCTCGAGTTTTTTGGGTTTTCTCGAGTTTTTTTGGGTTTTCTCAAGGTATTTTTGGTTTTTTGCTTTTCCTCGAGTTTTGTCATTTGTTCTTGTTTTGTGTTTTTCTTGAGTGTTTTTGGAGTATTCTATGTATATGATGGGCCCTCCTCTGTTCTTGGCTGTTGTGTATGGTTTATTCAGTTACACTTCTCTCGTGAGCAGCGCAGGCGATTTCTCATGTCATGAGTCCTATTTCAAATCAACTTCACCATAAGAACTCTAATTAATTCCTCTTGAACATCCAAATAAGTGTAAGAAGTCTATTTAAACTAACTAGAAGAAACAACCAGCTTGTCTATCCTTGCCAGATTCTATTAAAAGTATAATTAAAGTCTAATCAAAAGCCTAGATACTTGGAAGTTAATTCCTATTTCAAGCATGATTCAACAACATGTAATTGAATTACTCAGAAGAAACAACCAGCTTGTCTTTCCTTACTAGATTCTAGTTAAAGTATGTTTAAATTCCAATTAAGTTTCGGCTAGGAGTTCCTATGTAGACTTGGAAGGAATTTCTGTTTAAATTATAATTCAAAATATGAATTCTAGTTCAACTCTAATTGAATTCATATGTGCAAATATAAATTCCTATTTAACATCTGAATTGTAATAAGAGTTCTAATTGAAGTATATTTGACATCCTACTTGGAAGGGAAGTACTATTTAAAGTCTAAATCAAATGAACCTTTGAAGTGAATTCTAATCGAAATCCCGTTTAAACTTAAAGCGATAGAATTTAAAACTTGCAAACCAAGTGGACAAATGTGTGTTTTCCATGGGTTTTCACCGGTTTTTCACTCCTCCTGAGGGGCTTGCAAAGTAGAAGAAACAACAAGCTTGTTTCTACTTATTATATTCTATTTAAATCCCAATTAAAATCCTACTTGGAAAGGAACCCCTATGTTAATTCTATTTCAAAGCAATATTTTACATTGAATTCTAATTGAAATATGATTTAAAATTACAGCGTGGCAAATTAAAGCTTGTAAACCATTAGAACTGAAATTGCATGTTCCTTGCGGTTCTATTGTTGTTTCACTCCTTTTAAGGGGCAGGCAAATTAGCAGAAACAACAAACTTGTCTTTCCATACTGGAATCTATTTGAATTCAAATTCAACTCTAATGCCAAACAGGAATGAAAGAAAGATGCTAAGCTAATTGCAGCTACTCTGGCTTGAATGAGCAGCAGCAATTAGCAGCATGTTACAAAAAACGAAGAAAGTAGAGGACCTTGAGTGATTCAGAAATCGCAGTTACAAACACTCTTCAGCAAAAGCAATCGTACAACTTGCTCAAGATATCAAACCCCAAAATCACAAGAAAAGTGCACTACCACAGTCCCCCAGTCTAAAAAAGACACACCCATTCTTGAAAAAAGGCAAGAAACATGTGCAAGGAGGTTGATCAAAAGGTCCTACCATTGATTGAAAAACCACCAACAAGATTTGATATTTTTCACATGGAGACAAACGGAATATCAACATTTCGGGGCCCAACGGAATATTGCTCAACCCCCACATGGCTCGACTTCTTTGGGAACCGAACCCCTTCACAGTTTTAAATGGAAACCAAAGGGAAACCCCCAGAGGTAAAATTCATAGCCACATGGAGTCTTCTTTTGGGAATCGGACCCCTAGAATGTCTTCAATTGTCATTTTGATGTTCCTTTAAAAGAGCTAGTCATAGACCATTTAACTGAGGACTTAGATACATAAGGATCCTGTTAAGGAACCATGACAATGACTGGCATAAAGAGGTTGGACCATGGCACATATGATGCATGTACACGTATATGTGTATGTATATATATATATATATAGTATGCATATGTTTGTTTAGCCAAAAACCACCAATGTGAACGTTCAAACTGCGAATGAACTTGTAAGTATGCATAGTAAACAAAAACATATATGTGTATATATATATACATACATGTGTCATCCCCCCCTCCCGCCCAGGGACCTGCCATTCTTCCTCTCCAGTTCATGGTTTGCCTACTGGTATGTAGGACTAGAAGCAGGGATCTCTCTGGGACCAAATAAGACTAGAACTAAACTCAGACTAGACGATTTAACTCTAGCACTTGTAGCAATTAAGTCTCATAGTATTTCCTCTGTCATGTCTTCTATTCTTTCCATTTTTTCAGTAGACTAGAACCAAACTAGGACTACCAAGCATCTGTGAACTAGCACTAGGAACAAGCTAGGACTGGAACCAAGGAGCTCTCAACTAGGACTAGGACTAAGCAAGGACTTGAACCCAGCATCCCTCAACTAGGACTAGGACCAAACTCCAAACGAAACCGAATGAACGCAATGAAGCGTTTTTTGCGCTGATTGAAACCAGTCCTCCGAATTAGAACAGGTTTTCCTATCTTGAATCCGGGCTCCGCATGAAACCGACTGAAGTCGACAAAAAAACAAAAAAACATCATTCGGGCCTGAAGCTTCCAGAATGCCTTTGGCAATAGATCTTGTTTGCTGCTTTCCCCGAAGCCCCAGAAAGAATTCACAGAACACTGCAAATACCAGTGAAATCTGAAATCGAGGTAGTTTTTTTTGCTTTTTTTCTCGGAGGGGGGAGGGAATCATATGTGTATATACATGTAGAGGTATGTATGGATAGACGGACAGGCGGAGTGAGGGATGGAGGGGCCGGACGCTGAATCGCTGGGTCGCTGGATCGATCGCTGAATAGATGGATAGATCGACAGGTAGAGCGATAACTTGCTGGTGCTCAGTAGGGAATGACCCAGGGTTTTGGGAATGAACCTGGAAATTCCCTTAATGGAAACCATAGGGGATGGTTCATAGGGGTCATTCCCTCATTCCCTGCTGAGGACCAGCAAGATAGACAGATAGACATGTTTATGGGTGGGCAGATAGATGAGTGGATGGCTAGATACTTAGATAGATAAATAGAGTGGATAGAAATAGAGGAGGCAGAGAGAGATTGCTCTGCATCATGGAAGGAACACCCAGTTGCCCTGTGTCAAAAACAAATCACTTGAGACAACCTGCCGTCGCTAGGAGAGCCTCCAAAAATCGTGGTTTTCCTCTTGGTGTCCCTTTAACACCACCAAACAACTGGACCATCCAAGAAAGACACACCCAAGTGATTAGAGAATTGTTTCAATGGACATGAAGTTCACTGAGACTTTGTGGCCCGCAAGGTGGACATCTGATTCATCCACAGGCCCCTTTGCATTTGCAGGTTCTCAGCGATGAGCATCTAAGAAGAAGATACGCCCGGCGGCCGAGATGGATCCCCGGCAGCGCCTTTTTTGTTGAGCAAAAGTTGGACATCTGCCACGGGTTTGTGTTTCCCATATGTAGGGGACTTCGATGTGTTTTCTTCAGGGTACACTCAATGGGTGGCTTGGATTTGGGGATTTGAACCCCTTCTCGTAGAGGGACCATGGGAAACCCAGCTATGCTCGCCAGCGAGGATATGGGTGTGGGTCAAAAAGAGGGTAACCCAAAATCAACCCTGGTAAATGGAAACATGGACTAAAAGAACCTGCGGTCCATAGCCTGGTTTCATTTTGACCCACGCACATATTTGCAGCGGTCAGCTTCCCACGTTTTGCCCCCCTTTTTTTGCACCTAGGACCGCGGCGGAGAAGAGGCTCTGGAGGCGAAGCCGCAAAGTTTTTCTTGCACAAGGGTCTGGGACCGAAGCTGCAGGGCACTACTGGACAGCATTCCCAGCATGGCCAGCATCATCCCATGCAGATGTGCAGCAGAAACAGGTCATTTAACCCACCACTGGGTTTAACGGGCATCTATCACTACTGGTCATATCTTTGTTTTGTTTTTTTCTCCAGGCAACTCCAGGGGACGAAGAAGCAAATGCAGATAAATATGTGTTCCCGTTTGGTGGGTTTTAAACATCACCTTTTGGCTGCCAACGGAAAGTCGAGCTTCCTCTTGGGGTAATGGGGCAATTTGACAGCCGAAACTTTGGACAGCTGGCTGCCCATTTCTGTTCCAGACCTCTACCCCTTTTGAAACTGTTGGTTCCTTAAGGACCCAACATGTCTGGGAATTTCAGAGTGGTTTATGTAGGTAAGCAAGAGGAAATCGAAATGCCATGTCACACTGCAGGTTGGTTTCCTTTTGTTGTTTCCACAGTAAGAAAGTGGCATTGAATGCCCTTGAAAAACCAGCTGTAGGAATTGTGGCAGGAAACGACGCTTTAGCTTTGTCTCATGACAAGGGGTCCATGGCTTTCGAAATTCCGTGGTTTTTGCTCAGGAGTCTGGTGCCCTCGGTGCGGCAAGCCAGGTGCGGCAAGCCCATGGGACACCTCGATGCATCCTAAGCCATCAGACCTTATGAGCTACCCCTCCCCCCATTGATCATGGGCCCCAGGCCGTAGTTCAAAAGCCGAAATCCCAGAGGCTGGAGGTATTTTGGTACTTTCAAGTTCACAAAGTTGGTGGCAAGGCGTATGCCGCCAATGGGCGCATGGTTCCTGCGAGCTGGTGTTAAACTGTTGTTTTTTGCCAGAGCACCACAACTGTGGGAAGGATGCTGCCCAAAAAAAAGAAGAAGGTGTCAGTCAAATTATCATTTGGGATGCTGTGCATTGTGAGAGGCGAGTCGTGGTCGCCTTGACGTCTGCCAGGATTTCTTCTCCCAGATCTTCGGGGGCAAGGGCGGCGGACGCGGCCGTTCCGCGGGCCGGCGCGGAACCTCAGAGCGAGCGGAGTGTCGCTGAAGACTTGGGGGACTCCCAGCCCCTGTTGATTACTACTGTGGATGGTTGCGAGATCCGCTTCTTGCACCACCCAAGAAGCCCTGGAATGGTCCGATTCCCAATGTAAATACCAACAAACAGCGGTTTCCAGCTTCTTGTCCGTGCCCCCGATTCATTTTTTGGGTGCTACGATCCATTTTGAAAATAAGGGCACTTGGTCCTAAATCAAAGACCGAGGCTGGGCAAATCGAGCCGCAGCGACACGCGAATGACACTCACGCAGAGGGGGCAGACACTAGTTTACAAGGGGTAAGTGACCTCGATTCGCACCCCCCACTGACGCTCAAATGACACGCTTTGACACTCAAAACGCCATGTTCGGGCTTTCCGTGTCGGCCCCAATCAAATGTGGCAGTTGTCACACTTCGACACGGGTAGCTGTTCGATTGCAGCAAAATCCCAACCCCGATCAAGGCAAAAAGGGCACTTAGCAAACGAATCAAAGGGTCACTTAGGCCACCGACACGGCCTTAAGTGCCCCCTTCATTGGAGGGCACTAAAGATATGCTGGTTCTCATGGTTTCTTAGGTGGTGTAGGATTTCGTCTATCCACAGTATGGGGGTGGGGGCCCCTCCAAAAGTGGTCTGAATCCCCACTAAAACCAGGGACACCCTTATGAGCAATGACAGGGGTTTGTAAATCTGGGGTCAAAATTGCCCCTTTGCTGTCTGGCCAAGAGGACCAGATTCACGGTGCGTGTGCTTGGAGCAAATGCCAAGTGCCAGGCCCAAGACGAAGGATGTGGTTCGACCGATATGGGCCGTGCTCTCAGACTCGGCTCTCAACTGGTCGATGGAAGTCGGTTTCTGCGATGGTCAGAACATTCTTGACAAGAGATCCAACAGAAAGCGCACACCCCGACTCGTTGGGGCAAGCCGCCAATCATTGGCGTTCGTTCATTTTTTGATCCGTGCCTTTGGATCATCGGCTGCCGCGGCGAGTTGTTTGGGAAGTGAAGAGCTTAGGATACGGTTTTCACCGCCTGAATTTAAGCAACCTTACATGAGGTGAGGTTCCGAGCAAGTGGAAGCTTGGGAAGACTCGGAAATATCAGTCTGGCAAGGCGGAGCACAGGTGACGGCCATGTGAATTCGGGTTGACCAAAGCTGCGAAAGGCTGAGTTTTGGCCAGAGGTGGTCCCTCCCAAACGGCTGGCAGACACAAATATCCATGCATTTCCGATGCCGCCAAAGAGTGCCACTTGGAACTCATAAATGTCTCAAAGTATTATGAACCCCCCCTCAGAACGGCTTTCGTTTCTCTGGTGTTTCCTTTCCACAGCCTTAACAGCGTTCGCAAATGTTGAATGGATTTACAATTCAGGTTCAAGTTTGGCCAACTGCACGTTTCTTTTGGTCAAAAACAGAGGTAACAGTAAGAAAGTACAAGTGCCTAAAAATATTTGGAATGGGGCTGGGTACTTTAAACACACTTTTTTGTCATGGGACGACAGTGTGTGTAGCTCTTTAGCCCAGGTAGGCTTCAGGTAGGCCATAAGTCTTAGCCTGAGGTCACTTTGGAGGAGCTCTATGCCGGAGTCACGCGCCAGCTGCCCATCGTCCGCAAGGCCCATGGATGGTTACGCCAGCCGTGCGCGTACGCGCGTGTGGCTTTGAAGCGACGGGGAGGATCCCATTGCGGACAAAGTATGACGAAGGACTCGGAACAGTCCATTTGCGCTGGGAAAGTTGGTTGGGTGTAGTCTTGATTGGTTTTGCAGGAGGGGAGAAAGAGGTTTATGGTTCCCTGTTTAATATTTGTGGCAACAGCGACTGCTGCTTGGGGCTACTTTTTGTGACATGTGTGACCAGTTGGCAAGATTACTGCTGTGAGCTGTTGGCTTTTCACGAAGATTCCCTTGTCCCTGTTGCGGTTGGACTGCGTTGCAGCAATACAGAAGAAACGAACATCTTTCATTTTTTTTCGGCCAACCGGGCGACGCAGGAGGAGCGCTGCCTCCAAACTAGCATACCATGTATTTATTTGCGGAATTGTTGCAACAGATTCCCTGCTCGAAGCATTCCATGGTAGATCTCAACAGCTTGTTCTCTTTGCATTACTTTGTTTGTTCATTCTTCTAGGATCAAAGACACAGGTTGTTAGAGACATCCCACCCAATTGTTCAATGTCACCCAAACGTTTCTCTTCCATTCGGTGTTCTAATGTTGAGAATCAAGGGAACCCTTGGCTACTGCATGTGTGTGTACGCGTCATTTTTGAGGGTGCCCATACTGGGGTGGTTTAAAAGGGAACCCAAAGGAAACAACGATTTTTCAGGGGACTATTTTGAGAGAAACCCACGTGGGCTTTGGCCATTGCGTGGCTACACGGGCAAGATTTGAACGCCCAGGTGCTGGATGAGTCCGCCGGCACCTCTGCGTGTGAGGCCTGTGACGGCAAGGGCTTTGCTGTGAAGGCGGGGTGGGTTCAGCTGCGGTTTGAGAGCGGCCGCTGCTTTTTGGATGGGCCCATCGCTTTTTTGGGGCCCTTCCATTCCTGGGGCTGATGACTTTCACCCATCCCTGGGCTTGATTGAAAGGGACCCTATCCTGAAAAACACCTGGCGCTTTATCCCCCCCAAAGACTTGAGAAGGATCCATGAATTCCCCCCCCCCCCAATTGAAACGCATACTTTGGGCAGAGTATTTCTCAACATCGGGGGGCCCAGGGCTTCCCCCCGATGAATTGATTCATGACTGGGTGCGCGCCAGCATTGAGCAATAGTGTTGCCTTGCCACTCTTAGTGTCGTCGTTTTTGTTGCTCCCTGCTGCCTTGTTTGCCTTTCGAGCTGCCCCTGAGTCTTAGCATGCTCCATAACTTGATTGCTACTGGGTTGAATCTTTAGACATTCACTTTTTAGGAAACAGTGGATTTTCCACTGGACCCGCAACAAGTTAGACACTCTTTGCACAGGGGTCAACCGCAAAGATGCGTTTTCTCGTCGCCGGCCAATGCGGTCTGCTCGTGTTCAGGTCATCCGGATGGGTCCTATGGTCCAGCAGGCGCGGGTGAATCCATGTGCTAGGTGAATGATTCGGTCCTCCCAACCCCCAAGGAAAGGACGTGGTTGGTGCTTGATTAGCATTCATTTTAAATATACCCTCGCAACAAAGCAAGATGGCCCTTGAAGGAGGGTCCGTGTTCGCGGAAAAGGGTCCAAGCAAGTGGGTCTCGTTCATGTTCCAGTTCGTTTGTCTTGATTGTTTTAAGGGTTGGGGGGGGGAGGGTACTCGAATTGTGTTTTGTCCTTTGCACCTTGGTTTGTTTTTAATGGGAAGCCAAAAGGAGACAGAAAAATAAAAACAACAAATCGGGTTCTCCTTCTTTGACCCAACCCCAAAACGGTTTTGCCCCATGGACGCGGTTTTCGGGTTCTCCTTCTTTGACCCAAGCCCAAACGGTTTTGGTTCAGGATGGACGCGCCAGGTGCAGTCGATCTGCGTGGGGTGCCGCGGCACCGGGAGCGGGGCCAAGATGAAGAGCCGACGCGAGGCGCGCTCGCGTGCGCGTGGCATCGCGTGGCTGGCCGGGGCGCGCTGAGCAAGAGAAGAAACCCAGGCGCTAGGGGTCAGTTACCACCGTGAAAGCAGTGATTGGGTTCTTGCAACAGGGCACCCTCAAACACACACACAAATCAGAAATGGATGACCCTCTTTCCAACAAGCACGGAAGCTGACGGAGGGGGCTTTGTTGTGTTTTGCTAAGGGATGTTAGGACTTGAACTTTTTGCCAAACGGGTTTTCCGAATTAAACCGCTAAAAGTTAGTCACTTTTAGCAGGGGAGCAGAAAGCCACCGAGTGGGGGGTCAGTTCCCACCATGAAAGCAGTGGTTGGTTTATATAGCCATCATCCCAATTGGGTCATCCATTCTGGGGGGTGCGCCCCAGGCAGTACCTTTCCTGGGCGCTTCCTCAGCCCCTGACAAATGGGATTTGGTGTCATTGAAGCCGGCATCTCGCTGAACTCTTCAAAGGCAACTCCGCAAGATCTGTACCTTTTGTTGCAAAAGAGGTCTTTGTGGTTTTTCAATGGGGGTTGTGGAGGATTGGCCAACACCCCATTTTCAGCAGCCCATCTTGCACTTCAAGGTCACTAAATACGGAACAGAATCGAAGTTTCTTCTGAGGTTGCCATAAAAGGCATCTGAACAAGGGTTGTTTTGACATCCTGTCTTCACTCCAATTTTGCAGTGCAGTGCATCACCAGTCATTTTGGCAACTTGCTTTGGTGCTCCTGATGGGACTGGTCGCTTGACTTTTTAGCGCTTTTGGTGAAACAGTTTGCCTCTTTTTCCATCGACCTGGGTCTGTGAATAAGACCCCTTGTGGGGGCAAAATGGATTGACAATCTCAGGATTTCGCAGGCGCAGTGGCTCAATCCAGGCTTTTCATAGCGGTGCTGGGACCCAATCAACACGCTGCCACTTGGCGATGTCAAAGCAATTTGAAAAGCCCCATGCTGCGCAACATCAAACATCACGATGCTGTGCGCGATGCTGTGCATGATGGTCCCTCTTGAGCGTGATGCTCTGCGATCTTGCCCAACCTTTGATGGCGCTTTCTCTTGTCAACCTCTCTTGTCCATATCTGCACGCAGCTTGGCTGCGCAAGAAGGCTGGCGGTTTTAGTTGTGGATACGAATGCTACTTTTGCCCTTACAAGTTGCGATTTTGGAGCTGGAGATACGGAAGCGCAATTCGCTTGCTACTTTTCCATGTTAAAGTTTCGATTTTCGAGCTGCAGCTGCGAGAGCGCGCTTCGCGCGCCACCTTTGCACGTAAACGCTTACGATTTTGCAGCCAGAGCTGGGGAATGCACTTCGCGTCTTCAAAAATTGCGATTGTCGAGATTGAGCCATGGCGGCGCACTTTGCATGCTACTTCGCCGCTGGAGCAACGTTGCGACTTTGCACCCGGAGCTGCGGGAGCGCACTGCGCGCGCTGGGGCGCACTTCGCGATCTGCTTTTGTACTTGAGACTTGTGACCTTTCAGCCGGAGCTGCCGGAGCGCACTTCGCGTCCTACTTTTGCAATGAAAGCTTGCGAATTTCGAGCCGGAGCTGCGGGAGCGCGCATCCCGTGCTACTTTTGCACTTCAATGTTGCGATTTTGCAGCCGGAGCCGCGACCAAGACACGCACGCACGATCTCCGTAGAGGGTTCGGCGAGCTCAAGACACATTCGCGTGGCCCCACATGAGAGCACTTCGACACGCACGATCTCCGCAGAGGGTTCGCTGAGCTCAAGACACAGTCGCACGGCGCCACATCGAGAACTCTTCGGCACGCCCGATCTCCGCAGAGGGTTCGCCAAGCTCGAAACGCAATCGCGCGGCGGCACAGCGAGAGCCCTCCAACACGCACCGAGCATGAGACGCATTCGCACGGCGCCACAGCAAGAGCGTTTCGACACGCACAATCTCCTCAGAGCTCTCCTAGGGTCACCGAGTTCAAGACACATTCGCACGGCATCACAGCGAGAGCGCGTCGACGCCCATCTCCGCAGAGGGTTCACCGAGCATGAGACAGATTTGCACGGCGCCAGAGCGAGAGCGCTTCGACACGCACGATCTCCGCAAGACAAGTTCGCACGGTGCCACAGCGAGAGCGACTTGACACGCCACAGCGAGAGCGATTTGACACGCGCAACCTCCCGCAGAGGGTTCGGGTGTCCTTTTCCCTTGCGCAGTGGCTGGACAAGTGGAGCTGGGGCAGGGGCAAACCCCCCCAAACCCCTTTCTCTGGTCGGAGTGGTTGGACAAAGAGTTAGGCAACTAAGGAATGATTGTCTCTAATCAGGATTGGAGGGGGATGTTGCGAGGTTGAGTCGCTGAAAGATGTGCCCTTTGGCTCCAATGACCTGATCTCGTGTAACAAACTACCATTTGTTGTTTTTTCTTTTTTGGGGTGCCCCCTTCTTTTGGGTGTTTTTTAATTTAAAACAAAAAGGAGACGCCCATTTCTGAGACAGGTGCTGGAGGTCTTTGTGGAGAAAGGGTCCCCGGACGGCCACAAGATCACCGTCCACGGCAAGGCTGCCAGTCCACGAGTCGAATGCACGGAGGTTTTTCGGGGATGTTCGCTTAAGCCTCCAGGCTCGGTTGGTGTTGTTTTTTTTGGAACCCTGGAGCCGTTTTTGGTGAGTTTCAAAACCATGTTGGGGGGCCCCGAATGTTGAGACCAACCCCGGGTATCGTTGGTTATTGCTTGACCATCGCTAGTTGCCAGGCTGTTTGGGGTACAAAGGAAGTCCCAGGTGCCTGCAAGCTTCACGAACCGGAGAATTTGCCCATTGGACACATCCAAACTTATGAAAAGTACACCAATCGATTTCCAAGAGTGATTTCATGACTAGTTGGGGCGGATTTTGTTTTCTCAGTAAACCCCAGCACCTCAGAAGTTCTGTGATCCACCCAAAGCCCCCAAGCCCCCCCAACCCCCGGCCCAAGCAACGCGTCCGAGTCGCGTTGTCGGTGTCGGCTTCAGGCGGACGAGGCGCCCGGCTGTGAGGCCGGGGATCTGGTGGTGCTGGTGCGGCAGCAGGCGCGAGCCAGCGGGAGAGCGGAGAGCTCGCGCCAGTGGGTGGATTTGAGTCTTCTATGCACACAGCGGGGGGTCTTTTTTTGCCACCTTTGGTGGAAAAATGATCCACCCGGATTCCTTTTTGAGGGGGTTACCAGTCTATGAGTTTTTTTTTGCATAGACAACCCCATCATTCTAGAGGACACCTCCCCCATTCTGAACCAGGGATGTGAATCTTTTCAGAAAAATAACAGAACCCAGGGGAACAGCTGTCTTTGAAAAGAAGGATGGTTGAAAAGAATGGGGCATCAACCCCTAGAATCATGCCTGTGTTTCATAAAAAAACATGGAATCCCCCCCAAAATGGCGGCTTCTGGAAACAAAGGGTGAAACCAGTGGTTTGCCCCAGCCGCTTTGAGCCACACCAAAGTGAGGTGGGTTTTTTCATTTGGCTTCTTTGTAAAACAGGTAGACTCACCGGACCTGACCTTTTTATGGCCATGGTTCGTCATGGCCCCAAAAGGTCCACCGATTTTTCCAGGTCCTTTCGGCCACTGTGAAGCTTACCCTCCCTGGAAGTGAAGCTTGAGCCCACTTTCAGGGAGGATGGATACCCCTCCCTCCCAGCATGGCTGACAGAAAAATCCCTTCAATACCGTCCCGCAGGTGCCATGTTTAGGAGGGCTAGTCCGGTATGCGAAGTAGTTGGCAATGGGATTCTTCTGGAATCATGACTAAAATGTGATTAAAAAAAATGCTTTGACAGTACCCCACAACCCCATTCTAATCTGTAGCCCCTTATACTAGATAAAGGGTAGGCAAAATCCCAAACCCTACATAGGTGCGGATATGCGCCCTTTTGATTCTTTACATGGTGTTGAATGAGACCCTTTCAATACCAGATCTTGATTCTGGCTCACTTGAGGCTTGGTCGTCCTGGGTGAACTGTTGAGGCCAGTTTGGTTGAAAAGCTATTTGCAGTTTGGTTCAAATCATTTGAGTTTACACATGGGTCATTCCCATGCATTTATCGAATCATTTACTGTTGGGAAAAGCAGCAATGAAGGGGAAACACGAGTCGGTGAACGGCGAGGTGCCGTTTGGCGAGAGCATCTGCCATCTCAAAGGGTGCATCGCGGAATGTGCACTGAGGTGACGTTTTGTCTCATGAATGGTTTCAAAGGTGATAGTGGAAATTCACTCACTTTGCAGTTGTGGAGATTGCCTTCTAGGAGGGTGGGTCCCTCTCTGGTGTACACGGATTTAGAGGTTCCACAAGGCTACCATGAATTACTCTCTTGCAAAACAACAGAAGCGCATGTGCTTACAAAGGATTGCCAGCATCAGTGGTTTTTACTGCGCGTGCGTAGGCAATTGCAAAAACAACTAAACCCTCCATGTGTAGTCACATTTCCTCACTTCCCTTTGGGGCTTTCTATAGTGCCACGCCTATTTACTTCTCCAGCTTTGACAAAACAACTTCCGGCTGAACCTTTCAAAGCCGAAGCTGAGCGTCAAACACAAGCCATGCATGCGCTTATATATAGGGCATGGGTCCTGATATGTCCTTTTGGTTTTGACTCCATCACCTTGTTGGCAAATCTTGCAGGCGAGCTTTTTGTGGCAGGGGCGATTTTTGGAAAGGAACATATAGGGACCCCCGAGGCGGCAGCATGTCCCATCCAGCCAGGAGCATCCCAAGTTCTTGCGCCGCGAGGCGGGAGGAGCTCAGGATTGCTCAGAGGATCTGTTGGTTGTATTGTGCGCAAGTTGGCGGGATGAACCTTTGAGTTTTGAGAACATATTTTTGTTTTAAAAAAACAACTAGACCACGGTTGGCCCGAAAGCAGAACATCGCAAGCGAGGTCGGCCCAACGCTGCAGGATGCGTTCTTTTTCCCTACACGAAGCATTTGTGAAGCAAGCGCGAGACAGCACCAGGCAAGGTGCTCTGCGCAAACTGGTCGGTGCAAGTTGGTCTGCGCAAGTTGCTCTACGCAAGTTGCACTGTGCAAGTTGCTCTGCGCAAGTTGCTCCGCGCAAGTTGCTCCGGCAAGTTGGTCCCTGCAAGTGGCTCCCTGCAAGTTGCTCTGTGCAAATTGCGCTCCCTGCAAGTTGCTCTGTGCAAGCTGCTCTGTGCAAGTTGCTCTGTGCAAGTTGCTCTGCGTAAGTTGCTCTGCGCAAGTTGCTCTAGGCAAGGCGCTCTGCGCAAACTGGTCGGTGCAAGTTGGTCTGCGCAAGTTGCTCTGTGCAACTTGCTCTGCGCAAGTTGCTCTGCGCAAGTTGCTTTAAAATGCAAGTTGCATCTTGCGACGCCCGCCCGCGGACCAGGGAGGAATCGAACCCGCGACCCGCCGGTTCCGGGAGCAGGCGCGCGAACCACGAGACAACTCCCGAGGACCAGTTCGAACAACAAAAGTCGCAAAAAACCTCGAGTTTTTGCACCTCGACCACGCCGATTCCCGCAGAGGGTTGCGCGAGCACCGCAGAAATCGCAAAAAACCTCGAGTTTTTGCACCTCGACCACGCCGATCCCCGCAGAGGGTCGCGCGAGCAGGTTAAACATCGCAAAAAACCATGGGTTTTTGCACCTCGACCACGCCGATTCCCGCAGAGGGTCGCGCGAGCAGGTTAAACATCGCAAAAAACCATGGGTTTTTGCACCTCGACCACGCCGATTCCCGCAGAGGGTCGCGCGGGAACTTTAGAAATCGCAAAAAACCTCGAGTTTTTGCACCTCGACCACGCCGATCCCCGCAGAGGGTTGCGCGAGCACCGCAGAAATCGCAAAAAACCATGGGTTTTTGCACCTCGACCACGCCGATCCCCGCAGAGGGTCGCGCGAGCAGGTTAGAAATCGCAAAAAACCTCGAGTTTTTGCACCTCGACCACGCCGATCCCCGCAGAGGGTCGATTTTCGTGTAGTGTCGTCGGCACTACCCCGCCGCCCTAAGAAGAGATTTTAACTCCTCGCAAGTCAATTGCACTTGACTCCTTGCACTTGCAACTTGCACTTGACTCTTGCTTGCAAGGAGTGCAAGGAGTCATCAAGGAGTCATTGCAAGGAGTCATTGCAAGGAGTCATTGCAAGGAGTCATTGCAAGGAGTCATTGCAAGGAGTCATTGCAAGGAGTCATTGCAAGGAGTCATTGCAAGGAGTCATTGCAAGGAGTCATTGCAAGGAGTCATTGCAAGGAGTCATTGCAAGGAGTCATGAGAGCCATTGCAAGTTGCAAGGAGCCAAGCGCATGGAGTCAAGTGCAAGTCGCAAGTGCACGGAGTTAAGTGCAAGTTGCAAGTGCAAGGAGCCAAGTGCAAGGAGCCAAGTGCAAGGAGCCAAGTGCATGGAGTCAAGTGCAAGTTGCAAGTGCATGGAGTCAAGTGCAAGTTGCAAGTGCAAGGAGTCAAGTGCAAGTTGCAAGTGCAAGGAGTCAAGTGCAAGTTGCAATCCTTGCCATGACTCCTTGCAATGACTCCTTGCAATGACTCCTTGCAATGACTCCTTGCAATGACTCCTTGCAATGACTCCTTGCAATGACTCCTTGCAATGACTCCTTGCAATGACTCCTTGCAATGACTCCTTGCAATGACTCCTTGCAATGACTCCTTGCATGACTCCTTGCAATGACTCCTTGCAATGACTCCTTGCAATGACTCCTTGCAATGACTCCTTGCAATGACTCCTTGCAATGACTCCTTGCAATGACTCCTTGCAATGACTTTCATGATGATGATTCCTTGCAATGACACCTTGTAATGACTCTCATGAGAACAACTCAAGTGAACCCAGCGGAAGAACCCTTCGCCATGCTTTCGGGAAAAACTAGCAAGAACGAACTGTGACTTTTCGGACAGGGGGTGATAGCCATCAAGCTCGGCGACAACCTCTTCAGCCCTGAAAGAAGGACGTGAGTCTAACAATGGCCCATGGGCATGTTCTTTTTTTGCATCTTGGCTGTGCGTTGCGCGGACGACCTGAATGGGGGCTCCATGCGGGACTTGTGGCTTCCAGCCTGCAATCGCATCGCTGCCGCGCGGCGCAGGCCGATTTGTACCTCCAGGTTGAACTGTCCCTGGCGGAAGTGCTTGCTGGCTTCAGGCCGCGTGAGGGGTGGCACTGGAGATGTTGTTGTTTTTTTCTTCAGGAAACCCTTAGTGGCTTCCATTTGCTTGAGAATATTTGCTACTTTCCCTTCTTGGTTTTAAAGGTGAACCTATCACTACTGCATATGTTTGCCAGGCAGCTGAAGCAAATGGAAGGTTGGTGGTTTGGTTTGGTGAAGTGGGGATTTGAACCCCTGGTTCTGGTGGAAAGTAAATGGGAAATCCCGCTTGAACCACCCAGCCATCAATCCAAGCCACCGCTTCGAGGGAAGCGGATTGTCCAGTGCCAATTCTCGGAGTTCCGAAGCTGGTTGAGCGGTTTCAAGCGTCTCCCCAACTTAAAGGTAGTCATTTGAGTGTGTCTCAAATAGGATTCGAACCCCCTTTGGGTACTTAAATTGGTTGAACCAAAAGGAATCCTTGAACCTTGGGCTTCCAAGTGGGGCGAGTGGCCCTGGCGTTTGATCCAAGCCGATCGAGCCCAGCCCAGTTGTAGTAGGTAACCAGTTTGTATCCTTCTGGTTTTGAAGGGTGGCAAACTCGTGACCTACTACAGGTAAATGGATCCGGGTAAAGGAAGCCAAAAGGAAACTGACCAATGGCCCACAATGCCAGACCTCCCCCCAACAACAGACTCCAACGGGTCCCTTTTGTTCTGTTTTTGGCCCCTGGGCTCAATTCAGTTTTGGGATCGGACCCCACAAATGGCTCGGTTTTAACTCTAAGTGTCCCTTCCCCACCAAAAACAGGGGGTGCAAACGTGAGACGAGCAAACATGTCAATTCCAACAAGACAACTTCCCGGCAGATTTCTTTCATGTGTTTCCCCATTCTTTTCCAGCATCCTTCTTTTCGAACACCAGGACCTATTTTCCCCCGGGTTTCTGGAGGTTTTCTAAAATTCGGATCCCTGGGTTCAGAATGGGCGAGGTACCCCTAGAGAGTTCACCGCGTTTTTCTCGGGCCCCAGAAATTCAGACACCCCCTATTTGAGAAGCTTGCTAAACCCCCCGTGGCTTCGGAATGGGGGAGGTGCCCCCAGATCGACTCGGCCGGCATCCGAGCTTCGGCCAGGCTGGCGGTGGAGCATCTGGACGGCCGGCAGCTCTCGGTGCGGAGCAAGCCCGGGGAGGTCGGAGGGGCGCTGCGGCGGGCGCTCGCTGTAGGAAACCTTGCATTTGCCAAGGAAGTTTTTTTTTTTTTTTTTAATGATTATTTTCCCCTCTTGGTTTTAAAGGGAATCTATCACTACTGGAAATATTGTTTTTCCAGGGGGCGTAAGCAAATGGAAGGAGCCGAGGGGTGCGTCTCAAAATGTTGGTCCGGCGAGAACATAGGCGTCCTGTTTGTTCAGTTGAGAAAGAAACAAAACGGCTCTGGTAGACAGGGTCATCTATTTTCCAAAGATGATTGGTTTCGCTGTTGCTTTTCCGCGAAGAACGCTGGAAAGAGAGTGCCTCAAAGAAGAACCCCAGATAACTCGTAGAACAGAGAGACCCTCTTTGCCGAATAGGAATTTGCCCAGACAGATGTCTTAGCCATGTACGCAAAAGGAAGTTGCCGATGATTCCAGTTGCCACAGTCAACCGGAGAAAGCCTATGAGACCGCAACCTGGGTTACATCCTGAGTGGCCGGAAGAAGAGAGACCTACACTTACTCCTGGCAAAGGTTTTGGGACCCGTGTTGCACCGGCGCAAAGCATGCATGTGGGGGTTGATCAAAAAGGTCCAAACTACATGCGATGACTATTGGGGAAAGCCACTAAAAAGATTAGATTTGATATTTCCCACTAGTTGGGGAAAGTGACCCATGGTCATTTGGGAGCCCTAAATGGAATATGGATCAACCCAAGTGCATCGGCATCAAGCATGCAACGTTTGGGGGGGAAAACTCAGTCAGTCTTGGAGGTTATGGAAAACTGTTGAGTGTAGGAAGCCAAGGGGGCAGTTGACTCATCTGACTTGAGCAATGCCAAAGTAGGAGAGAACAATGGTGCGGCTTGGCTGGGTACGTGGCAAAGCAGGGGGACCGCAAAGTGTTTCCTTTTGGATTATTTAATTCTATTCTAAGAAAGGGTACCGAACACACACAGCCAGACACCCCGCAATGATTACATTGGTAGGACACTGTCATGGGTTTTGCTTTTGGGTACACCCAGGCCAGGTTTGAACCTTGAACTCCGCGCCTGGCTAGCGCCTTAGCCGTGTGCCGCCTTCCCAGATCCAGGCTCAATCCGATAGGCCGTGGCTGACATGAGGAGCTTGCGGGTGCCATGAGAATGTGCTCCATGTGGTCTTTTGGTCAAGTCGTTGTTAGTTATGCTGGGCACTGTGCAGGATGGGGTTCGTGAAGTCAATTCTGCGGTCGCAGCAACTCACCAGTGGCAACTTGCCCGAAAAGCCTTCCTTGTTTCAGACATGCGCCATATATTTGCCTGCCAGCGTACAAGGCCGGCTTCTCCCTCAAACGCTGCGTTTGCTTCTGCCTGCTTCGAAGCAACCCAGCCTTGAAGCAAAGCCAGCCCATGGCTCACAGGCGCGCGTGGAGATTGAGTCCCCGCGGACTTCAAGCTACGAGCAACGCCGTGAGTCTCAAGAATGAGGGGACCCCAAAATGGATCGTTTCCGGTTGGTGTCCCTGTAAAAATTCACCCAGACAAAGGGTTCCCCTATTTTGAGACATAGCCTCCTGGCAATTTGCCGCTCTCCAAAGCCTGAAGCGGCGGAGACACTTGTGAACAGAGCAATACTTCTTGCAGGCCTAAGACATCCTAAGACACAACGCTCCTTCAATGAGCCATTGTTGCAGCTACCACTGCGCGATGGGACGAGTGGCCTGTTGAGCTTTTTCTCTTTGAAGGGTGGCATGAACTCATCACGCAGGCCACTATCAATTAGCGGCAGCTCCGTGGAAACATTGACCGATGGTTAAGATGTGCGAACTCTGTGGATGGACGTGAGATGGGTGCAAGATGATCATTGCCAGAGTCATTAAGCGGTAAGAAGTGCATTGTGGGCCGTGCATTAGGAGCATTATGCTTCTTGATTCAGCAACGTCCGCCGATGTCAAACATGTTGCTGCGTTTGTCTTGAACTGGTCATAAGCTATGCTGCACCCTGCCAAGATACGCCAACCTGCTCATGAGCAGCATCCAGCTCCTTCCCCTCAGTGCAGCAGAATAGGATAGGGCTCGAAATGTAAGCTCGGTAGCAAAGGTGAGCTGAGCAGGTTTGACAATGGAACGACGGCTTCATGTGAGCCACAATCAAATCCCGGTTAGATGAAGGTTAGTGAGGGACAATCCCAGCCATAAATAGTTGCAGCTGCCTTTGTATTTCCTTACATGGTCCGGGTCAAGCAGTGTGTAGTCTTGCAACTCGTTTTGTTTGCGACTCGTTGTGTAGTCTTGCAACTCTTGACTGGGCTTGTTTCAGAGTGTCATAGAATCACAGGTTCTTCGAAGCCCCTTGGTGCAGGGAGCCCCGTTCAGAAGCGCAGCTCGATCCACTCGAGACAACCCAAGAGTTCTTGACAGCGGAAGCTCGACCCAAAGGAGTGGCGATTTGCCCCGGGCGATTGGTCGCCCCAAATGTTCTCCATCCAAAAATGGGACGCCCCATATATGAAGCAAGGGTGGCAAATGGATGCGCCCGAAGGATTCTCTGGAAGCTAACAGGAAAGTTTTGAAGACCGCCTTTGAGCCAAGCGCTCGGAACCCACTTCCATGTTGGAAAGAGGGCAATCAACCAGGCTTTGTTAATGGGTTCCTGTTGAGCGTGGAAGGGTGGGACAGGTGGCTGCTGCTGCTGCTTCCAGCTGCTTGACTGCGATCGGTCACCGGATTTGGCGGCAGAGTCGCTTACCCAAACATGGGTATATAGCCCTGATAAACGGAAGCTAGGTCCCCCAGTTGTGCCCTTTTACCCTTTTTTGGGGGAGGGTTCCCCTACCAAAATAGACTACAGAAAAAAAGGTACCCTTATTCTATCCTCTCTACTGGAGGACCTAGGAAAGGACGAAAACGAAAAAGGTCCGGTGGCGCAAACAAACGACCCATGCCCACTTGCCTAGGGTCTATCTATAATTAGGAGCCGTGAAACGAACAGTGGTATTCAAGGAATGCCGCGTGCGTGGGAATGTTTTGAAAGGCGATGTTCTTTGGCAGTCATCTGGAGCAGGTCCTAGTTTTGACCTATCCCCGAGGGAGTTGATGTTTGACAAAAAGTTGCTCAGCTTGTCGCTTGTTTGCTGGCGACTTCGATGTTCAACACCTGGTGCTGCGCTGCCAAAGCGAGCTTTGATTCTTTTTATAGGCCGTTTTGGCCTCCAAAAAATCGGCTATCCCGCAACACCATGTCACAAGAACTCTTGCATGTTTTTGCGTGTACAATCTGGCTGGCCTTTCTGACTCGCGGATGCCCTGGCCTCCATGTCGCTTGCTTGCAATATGCCCGCAGTTGTTTTTGTTAATCGTTGGGAGACTTCCATTTGCTTAAGATTTGTTTTTGATTTTCCCCTGTTGGTTTTGAAGGGAATCTATCACTACTGGACATATTTTTATTCTTTCCAGGGGTCTTAACCAAGTGGAAGGAGAGCATTGTCGAAAAACTGGGCTAGCTTTGATTGTTGCAAGCAGCTTGAGTTGCATTTCCATCAGTTTCTGTGAAGAAAGGCTCAGCACTGTGAATTGAAAGCCGGTGACAGGTGAGTTCAACTGGCAATTGAACGGTCGTCGATGCTTCGTTTGGAGCGGACATAGAGGACATCCAAATTTACACAACAAACGAAGAAGACAGCACAATCGTCCTATTGTGGATGGACCAAATCCGGCACAATGTAACAGACCCTGGACTGATGATTTCCCTGCAAATACCAACAAACAAGGGTTTCGCAGGTTTCAAAGTGGTGCAGGATTTCGTCCATCCACAGTACGTCTTGGGGAATCGGGTTCACCTGTCCGTGGCTTGTGCATTTTTTCCCCCAGGGATGGGTATGGGGCACCTCTCGAATGATGAGACCAGGGGTTGGAAGCCTCAGACATTTGGGTGCTCAACGAACATGGGAAATGCCTGACATACAACATTCCAAACGTGCCCCAGTTTTCAATGTCAAATCGACCTCCACTTGGGGCGACAGTTGCGCAAATTCACCCTGCCTTCGCAGAACTCCATGCAACACCATGGCTACCGCCAGCAGCACGCACCCACACCCACCCACCCATCCACCCGTCCGCCTGCCCGCCCACCCACACACCCACCCACACAGACGAAAAACAGACGAAAAAACAGACACACAGACACACAGACACACACACACAGACACACACCAACACATAGACACACAGACACACACAGACGCACAGACACACACACCGACACACAGACACACAGACACACAGACAGACAGACAGACAGACAGACAGACAGACAGACAGACAGACAGACAGACACAGACAGGCAGGCAGACAGGCAGCCAGACAGACAGACAGACAGACAGACAGACAGGCAGGCAGGCAGGCAGGCAGGCAGGCAGGCAGGCAGACAGACAGACAGATAGACAGAGACAGAGACAGACGCACCACCGCACACAACCACACACTGGCTCACACCCACCTACCCGCCCGCCCGCACTGACATACACACACACACATGCCACACAGACATTACACACCACACATAAGTACATAGATAAATAAGAAAATATATATATGTTTGTATATATATATATATATACACATGGATTGCACATATGCACCACACACACAAGCACAAGTTACTCCAAATGTTAATCCCCAGCACATCAAGGCGGACGCATGAAACGCGGTTGCCTGGAAACATCAGGGAGTTCACCTCTTCCCAACGCCAACGGAAACCAAAGGAGAGTTTGTCCAGCACGGGCGGTGTGCCAGTTCCGCTGAAGGGAAAAGCATGCCGACGTTTGGTGTTTGCCAAACACGCAGAAAGACAATCAGCAACGCACAGCATTACCTCTGTGCAGTCTGTGTGTGAAACTTCCATTTGCTTAAGAATATATATTTTTGGTTGTATCTCACCTGTTGGTTTTAAAGGGAACCAAACACTAGTGGAAGTATTTGTCATTTTCCCAGGCGACTCAAGCAAATGGAAGTAAACCGTCCCAGACTTGTTCCTTGTGACACGCCCCGCAGGGCGTGGCATTCAGATTACCAGCGTTGGCTCAGGTCCGGAGTGGTGCCTATGAGGGTTCCTGCGCGGGAAAGCGCCTTGGAACGCGCTTTGCATGGGTGCCGGAGCCCAATGCCCTGTACGCACGAATACCATTCGGGTTGTCCGCAAAGCTGTTCATGATTCGGCCGCGGGGCAAAAATAGGTACCCAAAAATGGAAACATTGTAAATGGAACCAAGGACTAAAATCTGCGGTCCCCGAGTGATGTAATTTTGACCATACCCATTCATTGTTTGGCAGGCTTGATGACGAAGGAAGGTTCTCGACCGCGTTGAATACAGTTGTGGGTCATAGCGCGCCGTGGCGCGAACCCAAGTCCTCAGGGCTGCAAACGATTGTGTTTTGCCAGGATTCGTGGTGTTGGCGGGTTCAAGATGTGTGCGGAAATACTTCGAAACTACTGCGTCCGCAGCAGCGTTTTCACATGATGCCGCCCAGCTTGTCGAGAAAGGCTGCAGGCTTCAAGCCTGCTGCAGGCAGAACATGCTGTCTCCACATCCACAATGCAAACATATTTCGATACTTCTGCATTGAAGGCTGTCTAGCCTGAAGGCATCAGTGTCCTCCAACTCCCTCGTGTCTGCAAGGCTCGCCAAAGACTCTGCCCTCACCGGAGTATGCGTGGCCGGCAAGAGACGCTGGCGTGTCAGACGGCTGGACAACACCCAGGCAGATGCAGCCAAAGCAAATGATGCGTGCCCAGGGCAGAGCAGATGTTGCCACAGCACGAAATGCCAGTGCCGCCAAAGCAAAGGCGCGCAGGCGCCCAAGTCAATGAAGTTCAATGGAAATCTGTCCTGTCTCCCAACGACCGTGGCCACAACAGAAAGGAAAGGGTCCGGCGTCTGAGTGCACGTATCCAGCGAAGAATCTAAGTATGGAAAACCAAGAGAAACGGGCTGAGCGCCGGATGTTCACCAAAGGATCGTGAGACTCCAGCCGACCGCAGTAGAAGAATCAAAGCGAGAGCCAGGCATGAATTTGGGGACATCTGAGCCAGCTGAATCAGCAAAATTAGAACCGACACACATCATGTCTGCTGCAATTCATGCGACAATGCTTGAGACCAACCCCCCACCCCCCCTCCCAAACCCCCTTTCCCACGACAACATGCAAATCGAACAAAGGACGCACGCTGCAATACGATCCGTGGGGCAACTACAGGCGGCTTCCTGCACGTGCTTCCCGTCGTTGTTTTTTGAGAAGCAAGGACAAGGAGCGCTTGAATGGTAAAACATGTCATACAATGAAAATGTCAAATTCATTGTGGTTGTCAGCAACTCCCTTGATGCAGCGTTTCAAAAGAAGTAACGGGCAGTCAGCGCTGGCGGGGTCAGCATACGTAGGAGTCGTGTGTGTCAGCTGCGTTGGCGCAAGCGTTTGATTGTGGAAGTATGTGAGGTGCCGCCAAGTATTCCTTGATACTTGTTGTGTTGCAACACGCACTTCCATTGTGATGTCTTTGGCATGACCTCCACGCTGGTCAGCGCACTATTATGACAACCGTGTCGAGTCAGTTGCCCAATTGACTCACTGACCTTTTGGTTCCGAGTTTGGACTGATCCTGAGGGGTTGAGCTTTCATGCTGGAAATGGATTGACTTTGTTTGCCGTCTCTTTTGGTTTTTGTTTGTACGAATCCGTTTGGGTGTGGGCCGTAGTGTGTGTGCCGCAATTTGTTGCACACCCATCCGATCAAGAAACCGTGCCTTCCATTTGGCTATGATTTTGAGTGAAGATCCGATCGGTGTTGCTTGCGGCTCACCTGGTGGCTGAAGTCGTTTTTATCCTGCCCCAAGCCACTTGGTGGCTGAATGTCCGGTCAGAAACATGTTAAACTCCACTTGGTGGCTGACCAACCCGACCCGACATACTGTGGACGGACGAAATCCTGCACCACCTAAGAAACCATGGTTGAAACCACTGTTTGTTGGTGAAATGTAATGGATTTCGCAACCATGCACAGTATGTAAAACTACTTGGTGGCTGCACCACCCGCCCAAAAGCAGTTGCCCCGAGGGGCTTTTCAGCCTGAGGTGTGGCTCCTGGGGCTCGGACTGCTGGTGCAACGACCAGTGCGAGGTCCGAGGGGTCGGAGTCGGATGAGACGCTCCCACGCTGGAAAGGGGGGGTTACCGTTACTCAGTTCCACTTCTTCACCCCGAAATAGACGTAAACCCAGGGGTGGTGGATTTCTCCAGGGACACCCCTGGGTTTAAGTCTATTTTGGGGTAGTGAAAAAGTGGAACCCTGCCGTTACTATTGTGGATGGTTGCGAAATCCATGTTGCACCACCGTTCAGAAACCCTGGAATGATACTTCGATGTTAAATACCAACAAACAAAATTGTTTTCCATGGCTTCAATCTGGTGCAGGATTTCGTCCATCCACACTAGGTCCCCAGTAGTGCACTTTCACCAACTTGTTTGGGGAAGTTGTTTTTCTTCTTTGTTTAAACTAAAAAAGACTACAGAAAAAAGGGTACCCTTATCTTAACCTCTCCACTGGAGGACCTAGGTTAGGTGCTTCTTTGGCAGTTTTTGAGAACATCCCGCAAAAATCTACGTGGATGGATGGATGGATGGATGGATGGATGGATGGATGGATGGATGGATGGATGGATGGATGGATGGATGGATACAGATGGATTGGTGGATGGATATCGATGGATTGGTGGATGGAGGGATAGCCGCGGGCAAATGGCAAACACAGGCTTAGTGAAGTAATTAGAGACCGAGAGCTAAAGAGAGAGAGAGAGAGAGACAGAGAGAGCGAGAGATACAGAGATAACCAGAGAGAGAGAGAGAGAGAGAGAGAAAATGGATAAAGCGATAAAGAGGGAAAGAGGGAAAGAGAGAAAGACAGACATAGACAAGGAACAAGGAAACAAAGAGAAAAGGAGACGAAGATACAAAGAGACAATCAGGCAAAGAGAGAAAGAGAATGAGGGAAAGAAAGAATAAGAAAGAGAGAAGAAGAAGCAGAAGAAGGACACACCTACTATATGCACTGGTACCCGACTTTCCTTTTTTCTTGACTTTCTCTGTTGACAAGACGCGATCAAAGGGGCAAAACGGACGCCTCAAGTTGCATCCGCGTGTTTGCTGCACGCCACGGGCATCACTGATGTGTTTTAGTGTCTGGGTCCATGGGTTTTGGTAGGGGTCCACTGGGGAGCCTTAGGGAACCCCTTGGACCACCGTCCCCTTGTGGGACTCCATCAAAATAGACCTGGGTTTTGTAGGGTAAGCAAAAAAACACCCTTTGAAACCAACATGAACAGGATCCCGTGGACCACCGTCCCTTGTGGGACTCCAATAAATTTACCTGGGTTTTGGTAAGTCGCCAAGGCCGAACCCAATTTACAGCCAACATGAAACAAATGCTGGCGACCTGATATAGGGCAACTCTCGGATCCGCTTGGGTGGGTTTAAAGCAGCCCGGCCTTTTGGGGGCCGATGACCATTAGGGAAACCACCAAAGAGATGATGTTTTCCACGAAATGGGAAAACATGTCATGGTCATTTGACAATTTACATCCGGGTAGATGAAGGTTAGTAAGGGATACTCCCAACCCAAAATAGCTGCGGCCGCCTTCTTAATTCTTTACACGGTTCTGGGTAGACCATTTTGCTACCAGGTTTCGATCAAGGAATATTGATCAACCCCCACCATACCTAGCGAAACGTCGCAATTTCTTGCTAGGCTCGTGGCAATTGCTGCGACGACTACGCCCAGCAGTGTGGGCAGCCGTCGTGCGAAAAATGTCACAGCCACTCAGCTGTCTCTGTGAGAGGTGAAATAAACATGGATGTGGGTCAAAACCAATGGGATCCGTTTTGGGGTAGGTGCACCACCCATTTTAGAACCTATTTTTGTGGGGATTGGGATGTTCACTGGGGGTACGGGATTTTGACCAATGGCCACATGGCGAGGAAATACAGCACCTGCTCGAACTGAGTGTGGACAGCCACATCCACGTGAACACCCCTTTTCTTGCGACCTGTGTTTTTTGCCAATCTGCTTTCTGCGTTGTGTAGTTGTATGGATTTGTTCAACTGTCTATGTAAGTCCGATGACAACTTGAGGTTAGGTACTTTATGACGTGGAAGGGCATAGCGAGCAGACAAGCCACAAGAGCCGGCTGCATCCAAGCGCAGGCCTAATCACATGTACTCCACACGGCTATGCGTGTGAGTGTGTCAACACTCGGGATTCCTGCCAAGGGTTGTTTTCATGTTGGCTTCCATTGACAGTTCACAACCCATTTGCAGAGGCGAGCATTCTGAGATGAACGACCAGTGGGTCGTTTCTCAGCAATGGCACCGTGACAAATATGTGGCACTGATCGCAGTGATCGAGAAGCCCTGGTCCAAATTGCCGCAGCATCAGCACGCATGTTGCAGAGGTTTGAACATTGTATCAGTGCGTGCGTTTCTTTCCAATCTGGGGCTGTTTTCTTTTGCGGGTCTCCCTATTTAGTGTTTGTTTAAAGGACACAAACCACATTTTTGGGGGGTCTCCAACAAAGACACGCCCATATCAGTGACAAGCCGGGCGTTTCATGGCATACGAAAAGGAAGAATAGACCTCCTGAAAGGCTCCTTAGTTAAGATCTGGAAGGCATAGCTGAGTGAAGTTGGTTTGGGGACCCCCAGACTTGCTGGTTTCATTGGTATCCCTTTAAACGCACCTACAAAGGCTTACCCTAAATAGACACACCCAATGGGGTGTGACTTTGGAATCGCTGGGAGATTCCCCTTGCACTTGTGGAGCACGCCGTTTCCCATGTATCCTGACTGAGGATACACCTGCGACGAGTGGATCCAGTGGGATGAAAGGAACACCTGCGAGTCCTTGAAGAAGGACGGGTCCATGGCTTCAGTTGAGCGTGCTCAAAACAGGCATACGCCTGAAAAAGAAAACAAATAGTTGTTTTTGTTGATCACCCGGGTAGATGAAGGATTAGTAAAGGGGCAGTCCCAGCCAGAAATAGTTGCAGAAATCCGCCTTTTCAATTCTGTACGTGGTTCTGGGTAGACCATTTTAATACCGCGTTTTGATTATGACTCAGCGGGGTTTCGGGAAACCACCCTGGGCCAACTTGTTTGGTGAATACGGGCGCCTCGTCGGTTTTTTTTTTTTTCAGGGATCGGACTTCCAAAATGGCGCAGCGTTTTTTTTGGTTGCCCGTTAAAACAATCCACAAAGGGGACCCTCAAAGAAAGACACCCGCATAATGGTCAAACCAGCATTGGTCAAGCATGCTTGTTGGTCATGTTAGGCGAGCCGTTTGATTAAACTACTCCTTGTTCAAGCTCACTCCGTCAGTAACGACCTTAGGTGTTGCAGCAAGTTTCATCAATTCGATTCGTTTGATGAAGGCCGATACGTGCGCATGTAGTTGTTTTGGTTGGGGCCTGTGGCCTTGGTTAAACATGTTTGAACCAACAATGTTTCAACAATTTCCTTTTGGGTTCCCTTTAAAGACCAACCCTGTGAGTCAGAATGGCTGTGGCGGTTTCTTTTCGGCTGTAGAGGCGAGCCATGCATGGATCACAAGGGTCCGTGCTTCATCACACGTGGCATTTTTTTGCATGAACGCCGTGAAATGCAAAACCGTTTGGAGGTGTCCTGCAGGTTTTGACACCGAGGTTCTTAGGAGTTCTTGCCAGGGGTTGATTCATTTGGACGAGCCCATGCCTTAAACAGTTTGCTTCCTGTACAACGATGGGCAGAAATCATAGCATTGCCCATTGCCAGCTACGTTGCAGTGAAGGCACGGTCAGCTGCTTCTACCATGTCCAAGGTGGACTCTTTCTCAATCTGGACCCGACAACTTCTCATGTAAACAAACTCTTGGCACTCTCGTTGGCAACACGCGATCAACTGATTCTGTGATCAACATCTTTGTGGAATTCCACCTGAAAGGTATGGCAAGTTAAACCACAAAAGCATGGTGAGAGATCCAGCCACGGCATGCAGTCCAACTCGACATGTCGGGATGCAACAAGTCCAACTAGTGGGCATGTTCTTGGATCTCAAAAGGCAACACGTCCAATCTTATGATTTGGAAAGCCATTTGGGCGTGTCTTTTGTGAGGTTACCCATTTTTGTTTCTTTTGGAACAACACACCAAGAGGAAAACTTAACATTTGAGAGGGGCTCCGATTCCTAGCAGAGGAGCCACCCATTTGGCTCCATTGAGGAGTGGGGCTGCAAATGCAGCGGCTGCAAATGCGCTGCCTCTTCCGGCGCTTCGCAGCTCGCTCGCGAGCTCCGGGGAACCTTTCGGGGAAGACGCAAGGCACCGACGAGACAAGCGGAAGGGGATATGGGGCCAACAAATTTCTACCAGACAAGGGGCCGGTGTCTGTTGGATGTGACAGAAAAATTCAAGCCTGAAGATGGTTTGGTGCTAAATGTAACTGGAGGTGCCCCCAGAACTCGAATCTGACATTGGATCTAGACCAACTTTATGTTGTGCTTTCCTCGATGTCTTCAGGCCTCCATGTTAAATGCTTTCAGTGCGCACCTCAAACCGTTGCCAGCGAGCCGGACAAACCGATAATATTGGAGTCCCGAAGCCTGTCGAGTCAGAAAAATATGTTTGTGCACGACATCCGTTCGCGCCACTTTGAAACCATGGGGGAAACCGCAACGCTTGTTGGTATTTACAGAATAATCATCATTCCAGAGTTTTTTAGGTGGTGCAGGACTTCGTCCACAGTTTGGACCCATTTAGCGAGTGCCACCGGCAAAATGATGGGAATCTATCAAAAGGGGCCTCTCCAAATGGTTGAGTCAAACTCGGTTTCCTTTCAAATGGGAGTCAACCGTCCGGCCTGGCTGAAACCGCGTCCGGTCGGAGTCATTTCGCGATGCCATTTTCTGACCATCCCAAGGCAGACTTGCAGATGGTTGATTGCATTTCCCCGCAAAAAAAAGGGGGACTCCTCGGTGGTTGACGCTCCAAAAAAGGGGACACTCCAAAAAAGGGGACACCCAAGTGATCGCTTTTCTTAAGAGGGGAGCTTCTGGGTTTAAGACTTTTGCCCAGGTTGATTTTGCCTCAAACAAGGGACCATCTTGCTGAGAACATGCGCCAAGGTTGGTGAAGCTCCAACAGTCAGTCCATCCGGAAGCCAAATGCCTGGACGGCAGCATGGCGGGCTACTATCTGCGCAGAGGTGGGGTGCGTTCCATTTGTATCGGTTTGCCCGGAAGACGACTTGAACTCAAGGGTTCCCCCTCTAGGAAAATCAACCGGTGGGTGCCTATCATGACAGATTCTTGGGGTCACTGGGTCATGGATCCTTCAATTGGGAGTTTGATCCCCTCAAGGGAAACCACAAGGGATGGCTCAGTTCGGAGTTCTCTGCTGAGAACAGAAGCTTTGACTTCTGGCGCATGAGGGACTGGCTGGTGTCATGCTGGTTGCCCGGTGAAAGAGCATCGTTACAGCCTTTCACGCAAGTGACAATGGCCATGACATGGAGATTTGCAGAATGCCCAGCAATCCAGGCTCATGTCCTGCCTGGATCTGACAGTCACGAGTCCCACCCAAACAGTAACACCCAACAAAGCTGAGGAATCCCATTCAAGTGGTCTCCCTTTGGCATGGAGATGCCTATTGGAGGCAGCGAGGCATCCCACTTCCTCATCTTTTTGGAGGGCGGCGGCTGGTGCAACTCAGATGCATTTTTCGCAGCCCTGGCGCGCGCGCGCGCGCGTTCTCAACGCGCGGGCCGAGCTTTTTTTTTTTTTTTGGGGGGGGGGGGGGTCGGATGAGTCTTTTTGGGGGGGAGGGAGGGGGGCCCTGAACCTATGCATCTTGAATGCGGTCAGAGGAACCCGCTATGGGTCACTTGGCCATGAGGGGCGCTGTTTGGGTTTGAAGCTTGGAGCTTGGCGAGTCGGAAGTCTTGGGATGGTTTTCCATGGATTCAAATGCTGGAAACCTTTGGCAGAGTCCGAATGCTGCTGGACAGCCAGTTTACGCAGCAAGAGCTTGGCTGTGAGCTGCCAGACGCAACAGTGATGTCATTTCACTCCAGTAGCTCGTTATGTCAGTTCATCATTGCGTGGGTTAGAGTCAGAGTCCGCAGGCACAACATGGTTTACGTTTGAGCTTGTTCTGGTGTCTTTTCACCCTGTCCAATTTTTATCATTGTTCCGTTAACAGGAATATTTTGTGGACTGTCTTTACGAGTCGCCAATTTTGGAGCTCCAATCCGACTTTAAATTTTGGAGCTCTCCGAGTTTAGCTGAAACAGGAGCTCCAATCTGATTTTGAATTTTGCACAATCCACAAATCCACACAATTGGTTTTGTTCTGGATTGTCCAAGTGTCCAATCCGCTGCAGTCGTAAAATTCGAAAAATCCATAAATCCATAAAAACAAAGTTTTGGTCTGGATCTAGGTCCCCCAGTAGTGCCCTTTTACCCTTTTTTGGGGGAGGGTTCCCCTACTAAAATAGACTACAGACAAAAGGGTACCCTTATTCTA